GAATTGACTTAGCTTGAGTGTATTCCTTTCTTTCTTTCTGTTGTGCTCTTTAGGTAACGGATGGTCATGCACAAGTTCACCATATGCTCAGAAAGCTATATGATTGAAAATACTTTCATGTGCCCCAGATGCTAGTGCTGAGAACTATATTTTTATGACTCTAGAAGTAATTTATAGCCCCATCATGACAAAAACCCACCACTAAAATTTTCTGATTTTTCAAAGTTATTCAAATTGACAGCCATCTAGTCATCTTCTGGTAACAAGTTTCACCATTTAAACTTTGTGCTGTGAAAATAAATATTTCATTGTTCTGTGCTCTGCAGCAGAACACTGTAGCTTGTTAGTAGTGGTTTTATATAATGTGGATATTCTGCTGTATTCATGGTGTTTGGAGTGAATTACACTCATCCTATCTATCAAAGATTTGGATTGCTATTGGCATTTCTAGATTCAAAACTCTCTTCAAAAGCTGATCCTTTCAGAGGATCCTTTCCAAACAAACATACTAGGTAGGGCTCTTCACACTTCAAAAATTATTCAGAAGATAGTTTTGATCTTGCACAAGCAGCAGTCCTTTACTGTTGATTAAAGGATAAAGATAAACGTTCCCCTGTTCAGTTGTATCCAACTTTAGGGGCAGTGCTCATCTCCATTTCTTAGTTGAGGGAGTTGTCCATAGACATTTCTGTGGTCCTGTGGCTAGCATGACTGTATGCCAAGGCTCAAGGAACGCTGTTAGCTTACCGCCAAAGTGGTATCTATTTATCTACTTACATTTTTATGCTTTCAAACTGCTAGGTGGGCAGGAAGTGGGGCAAGTAACAGGAGCTCACCCCAACGTGCGCCACTGAGGTCTCAAACCTGGGCTGTCAGCTCTCCAGCTGACAAGCTCAACATCTTTAACTGCTGAACCATCACATCCCTGTATACTGTTCATCAAAGAAGCCCAATTTTACTGTCAATTAAAGGAGTCCAACATTAATTTTAGTAATCATTTTCCAATAATAATAATAATAATAATAATAATAATAATAATAATAATAATAATAATAATAATAATAAAGTTGGAAGGGACCTTCGAGGTCATCTAGTCCAACCCCCTGCTCAGGCAGGAAACCCTATACCATTTCAGACAAATGGCTGTCCAGTCTCTTCTTAAAAACGTCCAGTGTTGAAGCATTCACCACTTCTGGAGGCAAGACCTTTTTTCAGGCTCAGAGGGAAGCCTAAAAAATTATTTAGGGCAGCAGAGAGATGCTTCTGAACTAATACTGAAACATATCCTCTTAGTCACAACTCAGTGATCCCAATACCTTAACTTTCTCAGTTATTACATACTCAAGGACATGGTTTTAAAATTCCTACTACCACCCCAAGATAATAAAATAAGAAAACAAAAACAGGAATTAGTGTCACATAATGGTGACACCTCAGTCTGTATCTCCATGTAAGTACAAACATAAATGGTCTGTTTGTTCAACTCATCAACTTATGAATTACCAGTACAAGACATCAACAGAAGTGAATATATGTAGCTCTGGTTTGAACTGTGGAGTTTTGATGTTCTCTGAGCTTGACTGTTTATAGATGTTTTGTTACCTGACTAGCTAACATCTTCAGTGCTAGAAAGGAGTGGGGTTTTTTATACACCAGATAAACAATACCCTGATCAAGAAACTATCAACTATCAACTGAGGGAATCAAGAAGTAGACAATAGCCTAATCAAGAACAACCAAGGAATAAACTGCATACTCATGAACCCTGACAGGGCAAAGCTACTGTATATAAAACAAAGAGTAAACTCCACTTCCTTCTAGCACTGAAGATGTTACCTAATGGATAATGAAATTTCTGCAAGCAAACAATCAAGCTCAAAGAGCACCAAGAATTCCACAATACAAGATAGACAATAATGGATAAGTTAAATTAAGAAGTACCGTACTCTATGATTGAAGCAACTGTTTAATCCTATTTATATAATATTTTCGTGTCATCATTACAATGATATAAAGACAGTGTTTCTATTTTAACTCCTTCAGATTTGATTAGGAAATAAGAAAGCTTTATTATTTAAACTAAAAGAAAAATGTTATGATTTCATGTCAGTAACAGATGTACGGGATTTTTTAAATATTACAATAGCTCTATTCTAAAATGTAAGTGAAATGATTTCACCTAATTTGACTATTTATGGCAGTTGCAACTTGATTGAAGTCTTGCCCTTTTTTACTATCCCTGCAGTTATTTGGATGGATGGATGGATGGATGGATGGATGGATGGATGGATGGATGGATGGATGGATGGATGGACGGGATAACCAAAAATATGGGTGAATTTCTTGTCTTTTATGGTAAAAGCATCTCTCCAATGCACTGCATTCTCCCTAACTTACCACATTTGAATTAAATCTAAAGGGAAAACATTAAAAAGATAATCCCCTTCTAAGGCACGAGTACTGATGCTACTGTCACTGTTAAGAGAAGGGACTTGCTTTTGAGAAATTGTTAGATAATGTCTTTATTCCCTGAAGAAATTGTCCAGCAAATTTCTCTGTCCACAAAACTGATGCAGAAGCTCAGGATTGTTTGCGCCCCAATCTAGTATCTTCATTAAATGAATTCAGCTTGACTAAATCCATGAGGAACTTACAAAACCTTTATTGACATTTTTTTTCCTTTGGTTAAACACATATTACTTTTCCCATTAAACATGAACATATGAAATTATTTGCAGTTTAAAAATTATTCCTTTTAACACACACACACAAACCAAGAAACAAAGTCTAGGAGAATATGTTTCTTTAATAAATGCATGAACTGAAGCAGAGAATATGATTTACCCAAGGCTTCTTGTGTTTTGATGTTATATAAAGAACTAATTGGAACTGAATGTAAATGTCCCTCAAACCCAGTAGAACAACATCTGTCCTTATAATTTAATGAAAGTAATACCTCTTGGCCATTTCAATGGGAACAGATTTTTATAAATGGATTATATAATACAGCTTCCCACCAACTATAGAACTAAAGAAGCTAAGAATGAAATTTAGATATCCGCAAGCACCGTTATGTCTTACTGCAAGAAATTTCAAGTTTGATTAAGAGTTTATGGAAAAGCACTAATATTTCTTCTTTCATTCATTCATTCATTCTTTACACCTAAGCCAAAAATTTTCATCTATTTAATCAGCTTGCCTATAAGAGTATTTTTTAAAACATAGTTTGCTAAACTAAACAGTTATTGTAAAAACTCTCACCTAACCACTGCACAAGAAACAGAAGCATTGTTTGGGAATTTCAGCAAAAGCATCTTTTTAAAATAAATTATATATTTAAATTCTCCAGGTGATAAAATTTGAATTCCATTGTAAATGTAAACATGACTGAGGCTGCACTGCTATATAAAATGGGGTTTAGCAGAAGAAAATCTTTCTTCCTGATTTCTTCAACTCCTAAAACAACATGTGAATCTAAGACACATGTAAGATTTTTAAAACTGAAGAATCATCGAACTCTAATCTCCATAAAATGACAACACTTAGGTGGTATTGGAAGAGCAATTACACAGATTATAGGCTTTCATGTCATATTTCAGGGTTAAAAAAGAGAGAGCAAATCACCAGTCCAGTTTGAAGTAAATACAAGGGATGGAAAGCCAGAAGATAAGGAAGACGTAAACTCATTTTCAGGAGCAAAGATATTACTCAGAAGTGGCATTGCTACTATTGCTACTATTTCAAGAAGTTGTTCATCCTCAGTAAATAAAATAGGGCTGCTACATAGAAACTTTTTCAGTTTTATGCATTTTTAATGAGCATAGTCTGTCTGTTACTTAAAACATAATGATATGGTCCTCAATTTTTTTATAATTTAAGTATGTAGACCTCTTTTAGTGACCACCTCAGACAGTGACCTTTCGCAGTTACGACTGTGATGAAAAAGTAATTTTGCAATCAATATCTTCATCTACAACAGGGGTGTCAAACTGCTGGCCCGCAGGACGGATGCATCATAGCAAAAACACGCCCACCCCATTGCCAGCAATGGCAAAAAAGTCACAATACGTTGTGATATGTTACGTGACATTGCGAGTTTGACACCCCTTATCTACAATCTTTGCAGCCTCTCTCTTTCTCTGAATTACAGTCAGTAGTAGGCATTCTCCTATCAAATTGTAAGCACAGTCGTGGTCATATGATTTTTAACATAGCGACTGCTTTGCTTAATGACTTACTAGTGCTAGGTCCCAGTTTATATGTTTGTTATTCTTCCTGGAGATCCATGAATTTGATGAGAAAAAAAATTAAAACTTTATTTTTACTAGCTTCTAACTGAAATTTAGCTCTTCATTCAATAATATGAGAAAGCAACAAAGTAGTTGATAACCTCTAGATTCCATGTCTCTAAATGTTAATAAATCTCATCTNAATGTGTGGGGAAACCTAGAAACACATCAGCATAATCAACTATTAATGTTAAACATTTGGTTCTATAGTCTTGCAATCTCACAGCACAAATGAGATGTGTCACATTCAACCCACATTCACATCCTCAAATGAATCATTATTTTCTAAATTCCATTATTACTGATTTTAAGTGGACAAGTTACATTTCTTTCCTGTATCATTGGCAAGATATTTTTTTACCCAAAGCTCTTTAATAGGCAAATAATTATGAATAGAAAACAACAAATATGTGAAAAAAAAGCTCCACAATAGAGTTTCTGACTAATGTATTGACTCTATCAATACCAAATGAATTTAGTACATGGCAGACAAAACAACTTTGTATTAAGGATTAAAAAAGAGATTTAAAAACACTTTTCACGTTACTTATCCATAAATACAAATTGCTTATATTCCAGGATATATACAGATTAACTTCCCCATAACCCAGAGTGTTTTCATCTTTACAAGAAAATAAATGGCAAGTGAACTTTGCATTAGAACTGTTGTATTGAGCAAAATACATCTGCCCCACCTACTAACCTGTCTTTGTGTTGCCTTCGATTGGTTGTCAGGGCAACAGCAATGTTATCCCAAGCTTTCCACCTATCCCCTTGGCCTGGCTGTTCACAGCCGAGCTGGTGCCAGCAGTCCTCGAACACAGCCCTCCACTTCTCATCCGCCGGAACAGCAAGGCTTCCTAACTTCCGCCTACATTTGACAACATTCAACAACAGTAACTGCAGGTTTAACCAAACGAAATGAGCAAGTGTCTGAGAGTCCACCTCTGAAAAGCAGAGGAGAGTTCCTCCCCAAAGCAGACTTCTGGGTACCATGAACAAAATTAACTCTCAATCTACACTAAAACCCTTTAAGCAGAAAGAATGAATCAGCATCCCTTTTTCAATCCCTTCTTCCTCAATTCCATAGAACTATGGACCTAATGGAAGTGTTTAAGCTCCTGCTGTACGCAGCTTGTATTAAGAACCATAACAATTTAATTCACAATTTCAAGATGAGTAGTCATATTGCAATAAAAATGTTGGAATATTCATGAGCAGAAAGAGTCATGTGGTAACTCAGTCAGCCAATGTGAAGAAAGTGCTACTGAGTCTGTGCAAAAAGGTTATTGAGTTAGAAGCTGGGTTTCAGGTCTCAGGTCTCTGGTCTATCTCTGCTGTAAGAAGTCTTCATTTATGCTATGTTACTATGAAGAAGAATATATGGTATTGTAAATAATTTTATATGAATATAAAGAGTTTATTTGAATCAGCTAAATGCAGTCAACTGTGAGAGCTTCTGATTTATTTTCACCAATAGAGAAATTAAAATTCTGTAACAAAAAACAATTTTTTTTATTACGGTATGTAAGTTTTCATGGATCTATTTCAGCAATTTCTATTATTACTGAAAACCTGCCAACCGTAATGTAACTGGGGGTTATGCATTAGCAAGTAATTTTGCACAAATATCAATAAATGTTCCTAAATATTTCAAATAATCATCTGATTCGAGAGTATTACAGATAGCTGCATATTTTTTATTTAATTGAATTAACATTCCCACAAATTCATATATTTTTTTCTGAATCCTGCGCAAAGAGAAGACAGCAGTCTCGATTCTGCTGATGCTGCAACCAAACTGAGGCTGTGGGAGTAAAACCTTCTTCAGAATCACTGAATAGATTTGGCAGCCTTACATCCACAAAGACGTAATGAAGATCCCAGGCTGCTTATGCCTTTACGTTACTGCTAAATTGCAATAATGATATCAGATGCTAATCAGTGCAGTTTCTCCAGCATTGGGCCCTACATAATATTACCATGGCACAGTTACAGAGTATTTTCTATTGGAATTTAAAGCTTTCAAATGTTTTTAAAGAGACATTTCAGTTAAGGGCCTTGCAGGAAACAACCTTGGAAATTTTAAGCACATAGATCATATAGAGCTAATAAAAGTCTCTTTCAGTCCTATTCGTGACCTGTTTTCAAAAGTCATATTAGATACAAAACTTGTCCCAAACTGTCCACCTCATTCTCTGGTCCAATCATCTTAGTTAAGTACACTAGTTTGATTGGGAAAGCACTTGGCATCTGAGTGTTCAATTACAATGAGAAGCTAGCTCCCATCCACTCACAGTGTTTTAGGCCGATCCTTCTCATGATCATATAAAGTGGGTTTGAAGTAATTTCCTGTAATCTTTATTCCAGATCCCCATTCACCACTGAAAGTGCCTTCAATAGTATCTCCATTTGGCAAAGTCAGTGTTCCCTTAGAAGAAAAAGGGGAAAGAGGAAAAAAATATATAATGAACTTATTTTTAATAAGCTGTTCTGCTTAAGGAAAGCAGACGTTTCAAATTACCTTTCCATTAAGGGTCCAATTATCTGAAAATTCTCCTTCGTATACAGTGTCATCTTCAGAAAGCAATACACCAGTCCCCTGTGGAGAATATAGTACTGGAATCAGTGCAAGATGTGTTTGGAATGGTTCTCATATTATCTTTGTCCATTATTTAAAATTTACATCTTATTTTTTTTTAGATATTTTAGATAAAAGCACTTTTTAAAAAACTTTGTTAAATGGTATGTTAATAAGCTATTTATTATCACTAGAGTCCATTTAATGTAAACAGTTTTCATCACATCTTAATACACTTCACTTAAAATTCTCTGAATGAAAAAAATGACTATTGTATTTACAGACGGTATTTTATAAAGTTCCAAAAAACAAATCAATTTATTGAATTAACTTTCCGCAGAGAAAAGAGCCCCTTAACAGTATTGAAAACTCTAGCAAAACAGCTGGGATGGGGAAAGAATAAAATTTCCCCTGTTTTTCTTTCCATCTGGTAGATCTTATAAATTCAAATAAACAGATAAAACCTTCAATCCGTATATAACTTGGGTCATTTGAAAGCCAATCATTTCACTGCATCATATGGAAACATCTCTTACTCTAAAGTAGAACTATTCAGGAACAGAACACTGCTGATTAGAAATGTGACTCCAAACTAAAATACTACCTTAAAAAAATAAGTGCAACAATATTATCATATATACATATATTGTTTTTTAAAGGGCAAAGCAAGAATGTTTCCCCATTATGCCTAGAGAGATGTTGGAGGGCCAGCCGAACCGAACCCGACCGAACACAGGTTAGGATACATATTAGATCCTACCTAGTGGCGATGAGGGGGGCTAGGACTAACTACTATTCCTCGCTCATCGCGTCATCAGATAACCGCCCGGCCGCCCTCTTCAGGGTGACCCGCTCCCTCCTCCAATTGAGGGGAGGGGGGGAT